GCACGCGGCGGGGTGGTCGCAATTTGGGCAATGCTGGAACCCCGCCGCGCGAAATTTGTCGCACCCCGGATATGAGTAGACAAGACAGTTTCGCAACTTGCCTGACAGAGGAATTGACCGAAGGGCCGACCCATTCCTGAGTATCCAATGGTAAAGGCGATAGCAATGAATGTAAGACAATGGCGAAGGTTCTACATGGTATAACTTAGTCCGCCAACTATACGTATGCGCCTATACCTGCAAGGAGGAAAAAGACAACGGTAAAGGAAAAGGTCGGACAGGCACGGAGATCATTCATCAAAGGGTACGTGGCCAACAATCTAGAAAAGGATTGCGTCAGGCTGTCGGCCTCGCGAGACGGCTGCTGGGCGCAGAAGGATTGCTGAAAAAACGCATCCCTTTTTGCTAGTTTGTTTTTTAGGGGGCCCGGGTGCGCGGTGAACACTACAACCTGTAAGACGGCCCAAAAAAACATGATGGACCCACGAACCCGGAAAGGGATATAGACATGTGGAGCATGGACACGTTTTCACGATACCCAACTGGGCAACACCTCACGAAACATCCCACGAGACACTTCACGAAACATCCCACGAGACACCTCACGAAACATTCCACGAGACACCTCACGAAACATTCCACGAGACACCCCGCGAAACATTCCACGAGACACCCCACGAAACATTCCACGACGACAGGCAACCACTCAACCAAGGCGGTGTGGTCGTGCTGGGGAGTGGTCGTGCTGGGGTGTGGTCGTGCTGGGGGGTGGTCGTGCTGGGGGGTGGTCGTGCTGGGGGGGTGGTCGTGCTGGGGGGTGGTCGTGCTGGGGCGTGGTCGTGCTGGGGCGTGTGGTCGTGCTGTGGGGTCGTGCTGGGGTGTGGTCGTGCTGGGGTGTGGTCTTGCTGGGGTGGGGTCGTGCTGGGGTGGGGTCGTGCTGGGGTGTGGGGTGTGGTCGTGCTGGGGTGTGGTCGTGCTGGGGTGGGGTCGTGCTTGGGTGGGGTCGTGCTGGGGTGTGGTCGTTCTGGGGTGTGGTCGTGCTGGGGTGTGGTCGTGCTAGGGTGGGGTCGTGCTGGGGTGGGGTCGTGCTGGGGTGTGGTCGTGCTGGGGTGTGGTCGTGCTGGGGTGTGGTCGTGCTGGGGCGTGGTCGTGCTGGGGTGGGGTCGTGCTGGGGTGGGGTCGTGCTGGGGTGTGGTCGTGCTGGGGTGGTCCGCACCCTGTGATTTATCGATCGGGTCGTGCTGGGGTGTGGTCGTGCTGGTGCTGGGGTGTGGTCGTGCTGGGGTGTGGTCGTGCTGGGGTGTGGTCGTGCTGGGGTGTGGTCGTGCTGGGGTGTGGTCGTGCTGGGGCGTGGTCGTGCTGGGCGTGGTCGTGCTGGGGTGTGGTCATGCTGGGGGTGTGGTCGTGCTGAGGTGTCCCGCACCCTGTGATTTATCGATCGGGATTTCAAAAACAAGCGTTTCGCCTGAGACTTCCTCAAATTTTAATCCGCCGGCCTCCTTCGACCTCGATATTTATCAGGGAAAAAATCCGCCGGCCTCCTTCAAGTTGGCACCGGGGGACAGGTTTACCAACTAAAAGAGAACCCTGGGCCCCCGCCCTTTCCGGGAACATCGAGCCCTGAGCATCGCTAGAAACCATAATGGATATTATCCAAACTTTCGATTCTAAACATCTGGACCCCCCACCCGCACCGACCCCGTCCCCCTACCGCGATCCATCCCGTCGAATGCCTCGCTAAGAACAGCCCACTCCTACCCCTCACGCGATGCCACCCCCCGTTCTCTCATCGGAGCATGGCATGTTCAGACAACGGCAATTCAAAATCGGCCCCCCGACACATTAAGGGTCGACACGCACCAATGTTCCAAACCGCGTCCATCCGTGGCGTGAAGGGGGGTCACGAAAACCACCGACCGTTGTCCCACATCGCACTCGCCGGATCTTAGTGAACACCTCGGAAATTCGTTAAAAGAAAAATAAACGACAAATCGTAAACTGTCAATCGTTTGCAAAAATGTGGGCCTGTTTTCTATGTTCCGGGATAGCGGCCGTCATCGTCACCGCCCCCCCCTAGATGACGTTACGTTCCGCGCCGGCGGCGTCCAGGAAGGCCTACAAATTTCCGAAGCCAACTAGGAGCAGCGTGTAGTTGGTGATCTGCGCAAACGTGCCCCTGTACACCACAGTGTTCGCGTGCACCACGACGCGCATGTACACCAAAGCGCCCGGGGACACCGCAACAGCTGTGTGTAACGCAGCGCATGTACACCACAGTACTCCCGTGCACTGCACCGTCTGTATACACCATAGCGAATGTGTACACCACAGCATCCATGTATAACACACCGACAGTGTATACCGCAGTGCTCCCGTGCACCACGGCGCGCAGGAAAACCACAGCGCCTGCGTACACCACTACACCCGTGTTCAACGCAGCGTCTGTATACACCACACTGTTTCGCGTGCACCACAGCACCTGTGTACGCCACAGCGACAGTGCACAACGCAGCAACATTGTGCAAAACAGCGCTTTCGTACACCACAACGCTTCCGCGCACCGCAGCGCTTGTGCACACCACGGCGCGTGCGTACACCACACCATCCGCGTGAAACGCAGCGCCGGTGTACACCACAGCGCCTGCGTGAACAGGACAAATCGAAGGAGCAAGTAAGGGAGGATCTGTTGCAAAAAGCTAAACTCAACACCGGGGAAGTATAATGGAGTGCGGTGTTCTTCCTTCCTCCCTCCTCCTCCTGCTCTTTTTTCCTCCTTCTCCACCTCCTCCTCCTCGTCCTCCTATCACTTTCCTCCTCCACCTCCTCGTCCTCCTCCCTCACCCTTCCCCCCCTGTCGTGCGGGTCGGCGCTACAGCGCACGTGCGCATCTCAGCGTGCATCGCAGAATGGTCGATTGAATATGTCTACTTCGTTTTCCGACGGCCAATTTTGCGGGAGTCTTCTGGTCGAAAGTTGGTGGAGTGAGGATGATGAGGGAGGTCTCTGGAAGACTCGTACATTCCAGCAGCGCTCCTTTTCTTCAGAAGGATTTCTTGCCGAATCCGACATCCAACACTTATTTCGATGGAGTCCACAGGCGCTGCACGTTGTCATATGGATTCCCCTTGAAATTCTATATGCAACAACGGTGCTCTGCTAGTCACAGCTGCTTTGGTGCACAGTGCGCCGTGGTATAAGCAGGCGTTGTGGTGCACGCGGACACTATGGTGTACATAGGCACTACTGTGCAGATCGCCACCTGCATGTTGTTGCTACCCGTCCTCGGTCATTCCTGGACATTCCCAGACGCCGCTGGCGCGAAACGTGACGTCATCGCCCAACCCCCCCCCCAGATGACGGCCGCCATCGGCCCGGAATAAACGCAGGCTCTTCCTTGGATCTGCGTGCGACATCCCCTCCCTGGCGCGTGGAGCGCGCCAGAGGGGGCGACGGAGGCGCCGCACCTCCGAAATGGATAAATGGATGTGTATGCCGGTATTTGCTCCGGTATTTGATCCACTCAATCATTTTGGGGTGTCCGGGGAGGGGGGGGGGCGATTCTTTAATCGTTTCCCCCCATTATTTGATCCCGAATGAGTGAATACATCTACACAACCTCTGCCCCAGAGGTCCGTACATCGAACAGTGGCATACGCATGAGCTCGTGGGGGTTCAGTGCGGGGCTCCTGGATCGGCGCGGGTTTCCGGGATTGCCTGTTCCCCTCTCACTGAACCGTTTTGAGTAGCTCTCCGCAACCAGCCCTGGGGAGAAAGGAGCACGGACCGACCGTCCCGGCATTCCTATAGTCCTACCACGAAATGACCTCCTCAGAACCCCAAAAATGTTCGGAGAACAACAACGATGTGCTTAGAACATTAACCCGATGTGTTTTAAAGCAGGACGGTCCCAGCCCGAACTGTTCTAAGAACATTTCGTGGAAACCACAGAAGGTTCTTAGAATATGCTTTGGTAGGCCTACAGGCGAGCCAAGACGCCTCGCCTCCGGGACAAGAGAGGGGGCGGCCCCCCCGGGCTTCCCCGGCAGCTTCCTAAGCCTTTCCCGAAGACGCACAAAAAACCTCTCGGAAGGCCAGATAGGGAGCCACAAAGGACGTACGGGCCCAGCTATGTACATAACGCGGCCCCTCGATCCGCACTCTCGAAACCAGCGTGGATCCATGTCTTTGTACGTCCTTATTTCGCTCCTGACCAGAGGGCTTCTCAGAAGGCCCGCCGCCTTCTGAGAGGGCCCCCTCCGCCTCGCTTCCCCACCTTGCTCGCTGCCGAAAACGGCGACCACGACCAAGACCAAACGAGTCGATCCTGGTCAGCATCCATACAGGTCAACTTCGTTTCGCAAATCATCCTCACGAATTATGCCATGGCCGGCACGGGCCATGACCAAGGTCGGCATCGACGAGATTCCGCGACACCTTGGCCATGGTCCCCGTGTTTCTCCTCTCGAAGTATGCTGCTCCCATCGTACTTTTGGGTGTCCCAAGACCGTGTGGTGACAAACCCGGCGGTGACCTCGAAATCCGCCAAGACCTCACCGCACGGTCCGTCACCACACGGTTTTGGGACCCTGGAGGCTCCAGTCGCCCGAGACATCCTCGGAGAACGACCCAAGTCCCACAACCTTGCGGTGACCCCGAATCCCCACCGACTCACCGCACGGTGTGGTCACCACCCCGTTTGGGAGCCCCCGATACTTAAGGACCACATCCCAGAAATAAGTTCAAGCACCCGGAAAAGTGTCAAAAGAGTGTCGAAAGCGTGTCGGCACAGTGTCGAAACAGTGCCTCCCAGGGCCCGACACGTGAAAACCCGTGAGTTTTGGGGTACTTTTCTGGCGCTTGAAATTCTTTCTGGTGATCGAGGCTAAAGTAGGTTGGAACATCATAACCCTCGAACCTCGACGCAGCTCATGCTCGGCTGTCAGTCTCGCGTGGCGACCGCCAACCGTCGGGGCGGGGGAAAAGGCGGTGCGCGGGGCCGCCTTGAGCTTGAGCGCCCCCTGCAGCGGGCCCCGCTTGAGCGCGGCCGCCGACTTTGCCGCGCCCTCTGGCGGCAGAGGCGGAGGGGGCGGCAGACTACCAGTTTGAACCGTATCCCCATCCCTCTGTTTGACAGCACCTTACCTCGATGCCGATCCTCAGGGTCCCTTCAGCTTCTGAGGGCACATCCCGAAGATTGGTATCGCTCTTGGCTTGCCTTTCTTACGGATGGGGATACATTCGCGTCTGGTTGGAGGAGAAAAGGCCGAGGACGACTCGCAGACCAAAAGCACAACAAAATGGCACGAACATACGCTTTCGGCGCCCAGCGCAGATGCTTGGATCTGCGGTCGGCCCCCTCGGCGGCGCCCAGCGCAGATTCTGGACATCGGCGCGAGCCTCCGAAAGCGCATGCTCGTGCCGCCTCCTGTCCCTCCGAAGACGGAGCCTCCTCATACACGGCGGCTGGCTTCGGCCCAAGCGGGCGGCGCGGACGCAGGTGTGGAGGCGAGGGCGGCCAGGGAGTGGGGCGAGGGGTGCGGCCTACCTGGAGAGGTAAGGGCACGGGTGCTTCCAAGATGTCGCTTTAGAGGTCAGGATGTTAGGCCCCAACTCCATGGAGTCCTCGCGGGAACGCTTACGGCGACTGCACTCGATCAAAGGCGTTGCGCCAGATCCGTCTCGAATCGACATCGCCACTGGACTGCGCCAGGGAACACCCGACTGATTCACAGTCAGGTGTTCTGTCTTTCGCTTGCGCCGTAGTCGAAGGGATGCCAATTGTTCACTCTTCTGCCCGCGCGCCTTGCCAGAAACACGGCTCAGTGGCGGCAGTTGTGCCCAAGCGCCGTGTCAAAGGCTGGCGCATAGCACATTCTGTACTGCGCTGTAACTTTATCTGCCCATGCGCCGTTGGAGCGCCTGGCTTGACTGACTGACTGACTAACTTGCCTTCAGCACGGAAAGGAATACCCCCAAACTCATGCACTTCTGAGGGGTGGAGGGGGGTTTGAACGGGTTTTCAGTCACGGGTCAGACCACGAACTCCCTGGCATTCCCGAGCGCTGCCGGGCGCTCCTGGGCATTTATTTCCGGGCTGACCCGCGTGGGCCTCCATGACGGCCCCCCCTCGCCCATGAGGCCCCCCAAACGAACCCCAAAAACGCCACAGGAAACCGCTCAGACATCGCTCCAACACGCCGAAGATGGCCTCCGCAAGAGCACGCCCAAAGAGGCCCCAAACAACAAGTTGCACAGACTGCCGCTACTTCCCCCGAACCGCAATTGCACCTAAGGCCTGTCACGCATTGCTGGGGAACTGGGCTTGTCTGCCGCTCTGGCGCCTATGTTGTCGCCGTCGCCGCCCCGCTGCCGCCTCCTCGCCGACCGACGCCTGGGCATGTCTACCGTTCCGGCGGTTCGATTGCCTCCGTCGCCGCCCCGTCGCCGCCTCGTCGAACCGCCCGTCGTCTGGGCATGCCACACTGGCGGCGATGCCGTCGCCGTCGCCGCCCCGTCGCCACCACATAGGCTACCCCACACACACATTGCACGACGTGCAGGGCACCATATGAAGTATCTCCACAGACACGAACTCGAATCGACCAGTCCCCCAACGGCAAGATTGCCAATCCGCCTGGGGATGTGCAATTTACGTGCGATTCCGCCCCGTCGTTCAGCCTGACTCTGGATCCATACCACCCGAAGCCGGCCAAATTCGACACCCACCAAAATTCTGCACAACTGCGAACTACGCGCGAACACCCGTTCATCACAAACCATCGATGTCCCAAACCCCTTGCAACGCATGGGACGACGCGCGCACGCTCGGGTCGTCGCGCGCGCATGCCGCAAGCCTTCAGAAATCAAAGCTGCCACAAAGATTCCAAGACCACTTGTCCCGAAAACATACACAAGCACATGGTTTGGCACCATGCATTTCCAACAATGGTACGCACGCGTCGTTGCGAACTCGAGAAACATCCACGGGTTGATCACCGCGCACACCACGTGCGACCAAACGGGGCTTACGCGCATCCGTGCCCAATTCATTCAAACGCTTTTGGCGCGTGGTGGGGGCGGGGGTGGGGGGCGATCCCCGTCGAATATTACAATGTGGGCCATTCGCGCCCGTTGACCGCGCGCGCATGTCAAAATCATCCAAACATCTTTTATCACCGACGCGTGGGTATATCAACGTCATCGGCGTGATCAGCATTGGCGCCGTCATTGGCTTTGCCGTCGTCATCGTCACCGTCATCGTCGTCACGACCTTCGCTACAATAACTATCGTGTCTGCAACTAACTGCCGGCGTCGCCATTCTACTGCGCACGCCCGAATCACCGATTCGCACTGAAGTGCCATCGCGTCGGCGCGGCCTGCGGGACACGCTGGAAGACCCCAGCTGTCAATGCCACCGCTGTCCCCAGCTGCGTCGGTCGCGCCAAACTACCTGGCCGCTCTGCGCGCGACCCTGCGCGCGCCAGCGCGGCAGCATCGACGCGCCAGCCCGCGCGAACCACTCATCGCAATCGCCGCCGCACGGGCTTTGCAAACCAATTTGCCGCTGGGCGGGTGGGGTGATTGCGCGAGCAATGGAGCTGACAGCTTCAAGTTCGGCACGGTGAATTGTGCAGCGCAGTTGCACCAAACCCGATAACGATTGCAATACCGCAACTGCACCACGCAGATTACACCACACAGGTTGCGACGCGTAGAATGCTCAACCTAGATTGCACAATATGTACTGCACCAACATAAATTGCGCAACGCAGACTGCACCAACTCCGCCACCGCGCATCTGGCACCAAGTGGAGTGCCTCAAGGCCCAGCCAACACTGAGAGGGCTGTGCTGATGCTGTCGCAACAGTAACTTTGAATATGTGAGGGCCCGGACGGAGCGTTTCCCGGGTTTTCACAGGGTCCGCCAGGATCGCCTGCGCCGGCCGACCCCGCCCAGGAAGGCCCCCAAACAAACCCAGACGGCCCCAAGCCGCCCCCCAAATGGCCAAAGAGGGTCGGAAGTCGCCCCAAGATCGCTACAATACGCCCAGGATGTTTTCAAAATGGCCCAAGAGGCCTCCAAGACGTTGCAAAAGGCCTCCCAAGAGAGCCCCAAAGGCAGCAACATTGATTATAAGAGGGTTTAAGAATCTCGCATGCGTAATTGTCCGCGTTCCAAGACGGCTAACAAGGTACCCAAGACCACCCCGAAACGGCCCAAGAGGCTTCAACAACGCCCCCGGGACGGTTTCCGAGCGCCCCAAGACGGCCCGACCGGCGCTCAAAACGGCCTGAAAAGGACCCCATGATGGCCCCGGGGCAGGCCCACGAGAGGAAACACGAACCGGAAAAAAAAAGAAAAACAAAAAAAGGCACCCCGGAGATCCTAACAGACCCAAAAAACCTTGCAACTCCCAACAGGCCCCTAGAGACCACAAACCAGCCCCGAACTGACGTCCAAACTGTTCCCCAATGACCCCCGAGTGGAGAGCCCCCCCACTATATCCCAATGAGTATCCAATCGGTTTTCTACCCGATACCCACGCGCGGTGGCCATGAGATAGACTGAGATGGGCAGGCATGGGCCAGTGGCCATGATACCGGAATAAGCAGAAAGCCATGGGATAGACTGCGCAACATAAATCGCACGTTGCGCTACGTTGGCTGCACCACCTAGGTGGCGCCGCTGAGTTTGCTCCGCTTAGATTGCACCACCTAACTCGCGCCACAAGAAATGCATCACATTTGTCGCACAACATAGACTCACGCCATGGGCTGCGCAACCGATGTTCTCGCTCCCGGGTAACACATACAGATTGACCACCCTGCTTATCCGCTCGCCTTCGGCGTGTATAAATTTCATTCGATGTTGCCCCATCCTTCATTCTGGATATAAACACACGTCCTCACAATCAGGCCTGCATCGACCCCACAGCCCAAACCTCATTTCTTTCCCAAACAAATTAAGCGACGTGCACGCGCACGACTGTCGTGCGCGCGCCGAAATCCGTCAGCAGGAAGCGGCCGCGCACGGGACCGCTCACTGCAACCAAACTTGCTGCAACACCTACAGCGCGCAAGGGGCACTTAGGAGTGCAGTCGGACAAACGCCCGAAACGCGGATGCAAAGGGCGCGGTTACGATCGCTACGAGAAGCGCCGATCACCTGCAGGCGGCGAAAGAGCAGGGCCACGCGAGGAACCAGAAGCACCCAAAGGTGGAAACGAGAGGGCGCCACGCGCTATGGAAGGTCTTGCACATGCTACATGCGCCTCGTCGCCACAAGTTGAAGACGTCGCCGCCAGGCGCCGTTCAACTGTCAGCAATATTGCACAGCACCGCGGCCGCAACTGCTGGCAGGCGCCGCCTCCAATCACGCAGGAACACGGCCCGGCCGAGCTCGTGCGCCAACTTCGTGGCTTCTTTTCTGCAGCGCTCCGCTTCGGTGCCGACCGTCCGAAGGCGGGCAGTCAGGTCCGCCGGCGGCCCCCTAAACAGAAAGTCGAGGCGTGTATCGCGGATCATCAGGAAGTTGTCCGACGTCGTCGCCGTGGGCGCCATGGCGCTCAAGCGGGGCCAGAACCCGTCAATGTCGCCACCGTGTTTGCACCCGTGCCGTCAATCAGCGTCGACGAAGACGCCCTCGTGCATGGGCCCGGCCCTGCCGCGCTGTCGACACGAGCACATTGGCGCGAGAGATATGCCAGCCTGTGCGCGCCACTCTGCGCTTGCAGAAATCAGCGGGGGCTCGCTGTCTGCGGCTCGATGAACGCCAATCGCCCCTTGTCCGAGACGTCGCCCCCCGCTGCGTAAGCCGTCAGTCGGTCGCAGGGGCCGCCCTGTGTAGCCCAGGTGCGCGGGGCGGTTCTCACCCCTCGAAGGTTCCACCTCGTCCTCGCCACGAGGGTTGACGGCCGCGCGTACGATCCCGCCCTCGGCATCCATGCCAAGCTTCCGCTCGAGGTCGAGGCGCTCCAACAAACGAATTCGCATGCCCAAATGCACCGGCAACATTCCATGTATGCCGGCGGTGCCCGGGTTCACCCAGCCCAGCAGTCTATT